ATAACATGACCCTTTCTTACATCGAATATAACGTCATCATACAACTTGGGTTAGGGCATCTCATTGAAAACTTAACACATCATTGTAAGTTTATTTTTCTATTGCTATGAATTAATTTTTGGAAGATGATGAATTTGATAAAATGGAAGTTGTTATAGGTAACGAAGTTAGGCAGCTTTGTAATCACCTGCAGTTCGAATTTGATTCGAGAAATAGTCATAGGGTGATTAGAATGTGAATTATTGGAGAGAGGGTTCGAAATTTTACGTATAAAATGAAATGGTTGCCAATGTAAGTGCTATAGAAGAAGATGGAGTTGATGATGACGAGTATTTAGTTAATAATGGACAACAAACTGTTGTCCATTATTCCATGTTGCAGTTATAGTCTAAACCTATGCTGTGAAAGTGCATCGAATAGTTTAAAATTTAAGAAGAATCTAATCCGATGCAGGCACTACTATCCCACAAGATACCGCATGTACTTATTATTCGGTAGTAAAACTGAAAAATAGGGCGAAAGAAGGAGTGGGAATAATAATAACAGGAAGCATTAAAGAAAAAATAATAAAAACAAAAACAGTTAATTCAATACTGATTACGATGGGACTACAAATATGTAATAGCAAAAAATTATATAATATAAATATACGGCCTAGTCGAAGGAACAACAGAAGAAGAAGTAATAGAATTTTACAATGGATTACAAAATGAACTAGATGAAGCTACTTAGAGAAAAATACGAAGCAATAATAATAATGGGTGCTTCAACCGCCAGAGTCGGCAAATATCATAATAGTGGGATGGGCTTTATGTGAAAATATGGAGAGGAAACCATAAACAGAAATGTAATAACGATGATCGAATTCTGCAGAAGGAATCTAAAGATAGGGATCACCTATTGGAATTAACAAAGAGAAGATAAGAAACCCAAAATAAATCTTGAAGAAAAGTGGAAAATATTCAAAAGAACAATAGTGGATAAGTCGGAAGAAGTATGCTGAATAAGAAAATTTAACAAATATTTTAGGACGATTTTAAAATACAACCAAACATTTCCACAGACCGACAAGAAGGAATATGTTACAAAGAGAAACATAACAAAAACGGCAGCCAAAGTGTGCAAAAGCAGAGAGCTGGGAAAAATTTGGAGGTAGCTTGGACGAAGAATTCAAAATAAATGACAGATAATTCGGGACTCGCATAATGAGGTTAAAAGGCAACAAAAGAAATAAAATAAGAGCAATAAAAGACAAACACATTAAACTCCAAAAGAGAAAATAGAAATAGTAGTAAATTGAAAAGAAGGTGATATCGAAATATTTGGGGGTGAACTGGCAGAAAAATACATAGAGGAATACAAAGTAGTGGAAATCTTACAAAAGATCACACGAGAGGAAATGGATGAAGCCATAAATAAAATCAAAAAGGGAAAAGCATGTGGGGAGGATGGAATTGCGCCAGAAATGATAAAGTATCTAGGAGAAAAGGTAAATAAATGACTGAGGAAGAATTAAAAGATGCCTGAGGAATGGGAAAATAATTTAATAGTACCAATACATAAAAAAGGACAAGAAACCCAATGTGAGAACTATAGAGCAATTTGTCTATCCCAAGTTAGCTATGAACTAAATACATCGATAATACAGAAAATGCCAAGGGAGTACGTTGAACCAATACTAGAAGAAGAATAGGCACCATTTAGGAAATATAGGCAGATAAATGACAACATATATACTTTAAAAAATATTATAGAAACAAAAATAGAAGAAGGAGAAGAACTATACTTGATCTTTATTTTTTTGCAGATTTTGATACGATTGACAGAAAAAAAAATATGGAAATGTCTGAAACAGCTGTAAGTACCTAAAACATTCTTAAACAGGACCATAGAAAGTACATACAAGCCAACAAGACAGTCAGAGGAAAACTCCAAGTGGGAGGCCAAAGATCCAATGAATTTAAAATAAATAAAGGCATAAAACAGGGAGATAGTTTAAGCCCATTATTGTTTGTTATAATAATGGACAGGATTAAAAAGAACTTCAAAGCTAAAGAAGAAACCTAAATAAAATAATTGGATATGGGAACTGGTAACCAGTAAAACTACAGAGTTTACACTACGCAGATGATACTGTACTGGTGGTGAACAATAAAAATAAAATGCAAAGAGTGGTGACCTCGTGGACTGAAGACATACTAAACATGACAATTAAGGTGAATATAAATAAAACAAAAGCGATGGTAGTTAATCAAAAAAAGACTAAAACAATAAGGACGCTAAATGTAATGAAACAATATTAGCAAAAATAACAAAGTATGAATATCTGGGTAGAATTGTGACTGGTGATGTCAAAATCGAGGCGGAAATAACAAATAGAGGAAGTAAATCTACAAGATTATACTACACAATTAATACAATAATAGGTCACAAAGATGTAAAATAGTTACGAGAAAAATCCACAATACGATAGCAGTGCCAATAATAACATGCGCAAGCAAAAACTGGATAATTCAGAAAAAAACATGAATAAAAAATCAACGCAATTAAAATGAAATATTTGAGAAGAACCATGTGGAAAAGCAAAATGGGACAGGATAAGAAATAAAGATATCTGACAAATGACAAAGCAGAAACCTATTACTGTTATACAAATGTTCTGGTTCGGACGTATTAATAGGATAAAATCAGAAGAATTACGCAGCAAATATCAGAATTGGAAAAAAATGAAAATGAGAAGGTGAAGACCCAGGAGGAAATAGTAGATCAGATCGAAGAAATACTGTCTTAAAACAGAAATGCATGGAACATGTGTAAAGGAAGAACTGGATTTCCAATACGACGCTTGAGAGCGTAATATGATATGAGAAGAAAAAGAAGAAGTGCCCAAAAGAAAAGCTAAGACATTCTTATTACGCTAACGGGTGAATACTTGCATAACACTTTTTTAATTAACTAATCGTCTTTCGAGTTTGGATTGTGCCCTTTTTAATCGACCTGTATATGGATTTATCTCAATGTTTCATTACCCTTGTAGTTAGCTTCTTCAGGAGCTGGGAAAAGCTCTTGGTTACGGCACCTCAAGTACTCAAAGGCAAAAATTAACAAGGGGAGTAGGGATTGACGCTAAATAAGTCAAAAAATAAGAAGTTAGAAACAACAGATTATTTATTATTTGGAGTAAAAGGGTATTTTTGTTATCTCTCAATTCGCTTGACCGCCGCGCCGTATCCTTGATCCCAAAATTGCTGATTAATTGAAGTTGTACTACTAATGTAATAGTTAAAAACACACTTTAACCTAATGGGATTTAATACATTGTTGAGACAAGATGTAATATATTTGTAAATATATTTATTAAATTACTTTTTAATATAAATACCCTTGTTTAATAAAAGCAAACCTACTAAAATGACATACTCTGTCACTCCGGAAATCGTTTTCAAAACGATTATTCTAAAACTTTCAGAATTCTTTTTTTCTGAGCTTTTACTGAATGAATAGTTTCTTGTGTGGTTATTTCTGTTCCGATTTTCTGAGCTTTTACTGTATGAGTTATGGTTATTTCTGGACATTTTTCAATTATTCGATTATCCACGGTCTGTGGAGCACAAGGTCTATCTTCTTCATATGCCATGTCCTTTCAGAACATTAGTTACCGTTGTAGTTATCTTAATTTTATTCACTGCTATCCTAAACACAAGGTCTATCGTGGGCAAAAAGTGTCTGAATATATTCTTTCCTTCTCGCCAGTTTGTCTTCTGTACATGTAATTATTTCGTTATTATTATTTCTTAATATTGGTTCTTGTCGCTTTTGTCTGGCTACTTGTCATTTCTTTCAATTTCTTTAAGTTGTTCAATTTCTTGGAATTTCATTGACAATAGAAACAGATCATTAGACAAAAACTGACTGACAATAAAATTATTAATGAGAGATTAAAGTCTATACTTTCATTATCTTCATTCAGCGAACGTCAACTGCTGAACATATACTTCTCTTCCACACCTATCTATCGTGCGTCGATGAAACATCGAAAGGAAACATATATTGATATATGAAAGCATAGTTAGAGGATGCTCAGATACAACCAGTGCAAGCACAATCAAACGCACAATGCATGAAAAGTCACTGATTACAAAGTAATCAAAACTCCAAGTTACACTTATCTTTCTAATCACTCCCTGTACAGATGACATGATTATAATCACTTAATAAATTTTAATATAACCGTTGACAATACCATCTATTTCCTCGAATAGGACACGGTCATGCTACTATTTATTTATATGGTCTAAACGAAGATGACAAGGACGTATCTAACACAGAAAAGAGTAAGAATATTGAAAGCGTCGGGGACTGACTTTTGTAGTAGAAGATCCACGAGGCTGAGCAAGGTATGAAATCATCGAATACGGGGTATAATATAATAAAGGTTGCACATACAAGAAGAAAAATAGAAGTGAATATAACGTAGTGTGGTTATGTCCAGATAATGATTATGCATATACCAAGCAAAGGGACCAACTAATAAAAAAAAAAGACGGCAGGGTGGCAAGAAACTGGATGTAATCTGTAGAATAAACACCATAAGAATAAAGGTTTAGATATTAGATGACAATCTGGGTGAAGACGGAGAACATCCGCCTTCGTTTTTCATCTGATTTTGTAGCAGAATTATGAGTGTGCAATAAAACAGAATAGTAAATATTTGGTGATGAATTTATTCCCATGGAATTTCAAATATTTGCATTCAGAGAGACCCGACGCCGTCTACAACTCATAAACGTGTTAAAAAAGAAGGACCCCAATTTTTTATTTTTAAGAAAACATGACTTGATTCATAGTTTCCGCCGTTGTACGTTACTTACATTTTATTTTTACACTGGTTACTGTGTAAAATTTCATTTAAGCTTAATCTATTTTCGGATCTATTAAAGTACGCTGCTTAATTTGCTCTTCTAATAAAACCAAATAGTAAAGTGCATCAATCTTTTCAGACGGAAAGGGACGACCTCATAAAGCAGAGAGACCAACTAACGAAAAGGCTGGAATCCAACGAATCCTTATTGCGAGAGAAGGAGGATGAAGTTTTTTTACAGTTCGAACGAGTAGTTTATCTGGAAGAGCAATGTGATAAGGTAAGTTGCACTTTTCGTTTGGAGATTATCAAATTGAAATAATTTTTAAATAATGTTAACCTAAAAACATTGTAATAAAAATCAGAGTAAAACTATAATTCAGCGTATTTGTTATAATCTACAAGAATACTTTTTTTTATTTCAAATAAATATAATAAATATTATAACTCTTTGTACTACTACTAACTCATTAAAAATATCACAATTTACTACTCACTGTGATATTCGAAAAATAAATAATTTCTACTAATTTTTAAAAGTTTGCTAGAAAAAGAGAGCCTGACTCTTACACAGACAATAATAAAAAATCGGAAGCCCTTGTTTCACAATATCCTAGTCCAGTGGTTCTCAACCTTTTTGTGGCGACGGAACACTTTTAATTACCGAAAAAAATTGCGGAACACCAAAGCAATAACATGCATATATTGATAAACAAATTAGGATTAGCACATAAATTCTGTAATAAACTTTATTATACGTGCTCAAATTTGTAAAATTTTACTTAAAATATGAAAACAAAAAACATTTTTAAAATTAACAAATGCGTAATTCTCAAAATACATCATATGAGTAAATACTTCAAATTAGTGAGACACTTGTGCCTGGTGTCGTTTGCAAATTTGCTCAATATCAGGCCTGATGTGGGAAAGAGCTACTCTCATTTCTTGTTCTAAGTTTAGCAGCCTTTCCCGTTTCTTATTTTTAATGTTTGTTAAAGATGAGAACCCAAATTCACATAAATAGGACGTAGAAAACTGTATTAAAATACTAATTGCTTTTTTGGCAAGAAGTGGATATTCCTCTTGGACCAAGATCCAAAATTCTTGAACATTCACTTCTGAAAACTTAATTTTCAGAGTACGATCAGATGACAACGAAATAAATTCTTCTTCTTGGTTCAGAGAAAACTGGAAATTGGCTGTATTACTTGTGCTAAAAGGACTTCTTATCCAGTCATATTTTTCTACGTTCAGAGATGGAAAATACCTGGCAATTTCTTGTTCTTTATCTCCATCACCAAATCTGAAAGCTTGTCCGTGGATGTTAAAATATTTTCATTTTTGCCTTGGATACTTGAGTTAACGCCATTTAAATAATTAAAAATATCGGCCAAATATGCCACTTTAGTGCACCATGCATCATTTTCAAAATATGTGGTAAATGCGTCATTACCTTCTTCTTGGAAAAAAGTTAACAGCTCCGTTCTAAGTTCATAAATTCGACATAATACTTTGCCCCTTGACAACCATCTAACTTCGGTGTGCAGCAACAAACATTCATACTTTGATTCCACTGAGATGCAGAGTTGTTTAAAAAGACGGGTTTTTAGTGGTCTTGATTTGATGTAATTCACGACATTAACCACTTGGTCTAATACAGATTTCAAAGTAGCTGGTAGCGTTTTTGAAATTAGAGATTCTCTATGCAAGAAGGGGTGCGTAGATATGATATTTTCATTTCGCTTTTTTGCAAGGGTACAAAAACCTTTTATGGAGCCTACCATGGAAGGGGCACCATCCGTACAAATTCCTACGCAAAAGTCCCATGATATATTTTTTTTCTCTAAATATGACGTTATGGAATCAAATACATCCTGACCTGTTGTACGTGCTGTAAGTTCTCTGCAGCATAAAAACTGATTGACTATTTCACCTTCGTCGACAAATCGAATAAATCCTAATAAATGAGCTTTGCCACTAATATCAGTGGATTCGTCCACCTGCAATGCGAAGTTTTTTTTGTAAAGTTTATTTGTAACTTTTTCCTCAATATCTGCAGATAAATCAACAATCCTTCTTCTTATTGTATCATCCGACATAGGAATTTTCCGTATTTCGTTTTGTGCATCGTTGCCAAACATAATTTTGACCATCTCACAACATGCTGGTAATATAAGAGATTCTGCAACAGTGTGTGGTTTCTGTTTCAAAGCAATTAATTCGGCGACCTTATATGAAGCTATTTGTGCTTTGTCGGAAATTGTTAGCGACCGTTCAAATTGTTTCGCTTGTTTAGCTTGTGTCTCCAAAAGTCGCTTGAAATAATCTTTATTTTTTGAAGCTACACTAGCGTGTTTGGTAGTAAAATGGCGTTTTAATTTAGCCGGAGCCATTGCGCTATTAGCGAGTGTCTGCCCACAAACAATACACTTGGGAATTGGACAGTCTTCTTCCCCAGTCCAAATGAAGCCATAATCCAAATATTCATCCAAATATTGCCGGTTCAACATTTTTTTGCTGTGCTTCGATTTGTCATCAACCCCACTTCGTAAAGTTCCAGTATCTCCGCTGGTGCTCGCTTCATCATCATTAATTATGAGTTGTTCCACAGTAGTTTTTCTTTTAAGTTTGAGGAACTTATCCATTTTAATCTATTCGTCTCTAAACAAAATAATGCGGATGAATGCTTCACATTTTGTATAAAATATGCAATTACTTACCTTTGATAGATAAGCCGTACGTAAAAGTTATCATAAAAAAACTGACACAGCGATTTTCACGTATTACGTTTGTGCAATGTAACAAATTCAACATTCAGTTGCAGACTGTGGCGTGGGTGACTCAGATTGGCTGTGGCCACTGCGGAGCTCAGCGCTCAGCGCTTATAAAATCCAACGTGTGCACTGTGCCGACGCGGTGTTGTCACGTTGGGCAAATGAACATTTACGCTGCAGAATTTTATGAAATTAAAATTATACGTAAGTGGCTATTTTAAAATTTGAAAAATATTTATTTGAAAAGAGTAATTTAGCAAAATGGTATGTAGGATTGCGAGTATTTCGCGGAACACTTGGAAGGAATTCGCGGAACACTAGTGTTCCGCGGAACACCGGTTGAGAACCACTGTCCTAGAGTAATAGCATAATACATCCAATGATTTATATCTCCGATGAGATGTGGCAAACAAAGTCGAAACAATTTTATTTGACATTTCAGTCTCCAGATCGGTAGTCGTTTACAAAACACAATTTTTAAATATCAAGGAAACTAATGTGCTTGAAGACAAAAGAAGATGAAAAAGACATCGTGACGTTTAATGTATAATAAAAATCGTAAAGCTACTCACATTTGTATTAAGCCGCACAATATTTGATACAATTGTTAAATTGTATTATAAACTGACGATCTGACATAAAAGTAACCACTTTTGTGAATCTATAACTATAAAAATGATCAAAATCCAACATCGAGGACTATAGGCTTTCGTGGCTGGTGTTTTGTAAGCGCACATTGTATCGCGCTTTATCGGCCCTGTTTCAGAATTCTTTGTTCCGACATTTTGTCTGTTTCATCAGGCATTAGAATATATTAGTCAGCAGTTCCCAAAACACATAACAAACCGTTTTTATCGCTGTCTTCGAAAACATATTTCCAGTCGGACGGATTTAGGAACAGACTGATGGAGTGGTAATATGAACTCTGTCCTGCAACTGTTTTCATGAAACAACTCGAACAAACAAGCCTTACAATTAACTATTGTCTTGGTTCCGTAACTTGAATGATACTTTTGTGATCTGGAGCAATGAGGAGGGCGAACTTAAAAAAATACAGAACCTTTAAAAATCATACGAACAAGCTGAATTTTGCTGAGAATATCAACTACACTTCAGTAACCGCAGACGAAAATGCCACTGAACCTCTAAAAATCATACGAACAAGCTGAATTTTGCTAAGAATGTCAATTTTGGGACCCCAAAAAAGATGCAAAAAGTTTACCACTCCTACCTACGGCCTTCCCCTATAACTCCCCTGGAACGAGGGGGAACGGAAAAAATTGATTTACCAAAAATCTGTACGTCGGAGAAAAAAAGTTTTAAATAAAAAATGTAGCTGAGATAATTTTGCACAAAAATGTTCTTCTCCTTTAAAACGCATTTCGATTTTTGTCGATAGGATACTCTGATCAAAAGACATTGAATTTTTACCAAAAATTTCGAATCCAATAGATTTAATATCTACTACTGTTTATATCTCATTCTCTTGTTGTAGCAGTCTTTTATCCTTGCAATTCTTTTATCCGAAGTTCGTTAACCATTCTTGATCCTAGGAATAACACTTTGCTCGTTAAATTACACTTGAGTAACTTTTGGCACCAATATTCCTTAGATTTTATCACTAGCCTTCCATCCAAAATTACCTCATTGTTGTTGATTTTAATACACTTTTTTCGTTGCCCTAATTCTTCTTTGTTGTTGTATTATTATTATTGGCGCTAGCGTATTTTTGGATGATTCCGTAAATTCCTTATGTTGCGTCCTTGATTTTTCATCTTTTGTAAATGGTGTTTTTTTTATAGAGGTATAGAAATGTAAGTTGGTAACACTTTTTTAACTGTTGGCCATTTTGACGCCTTAACAACGCTTCCAAATTGTACAAATTTATTTTGAAAATTGTGGTTCTGTTCGAAATACCTATCGCGCACTACGTTAATTTTATGGTCAACATAGTAGTCCATCAGAGCAAGCAATTCGATTAAACACATAACGTTTTGCATCACGTTTATTCCAAATGATAGTATACATCCACAGACACGTCGTACAGTGCCTATAGAAGAAGTTTGCGGTGCTGTAGAGCGTAGCATACAGGAAGACCCGAATCAGTCTATCTGCCATCGTGCACAGCGGTTGGATACGTAGCCATCGACTTTATGGACGATTTTTCGGAAATATCTAGCTTTGAATTTGATGGAAATTGATGGCATATCATCACCTAGTAAGGCGTATATTCGTAGATTCGGTGAATGGGCCCAAAACGAGATTGGTATTGATTCCAATTTTCATAAGCGAGTTTTGTTTAGTGATGAAGCTCACTTATAGCCTTTTTGCCTTTTGCATTCAATGTGCAGCAGCTGTCGTTTCAATAAGTTAGCGCAACATGTCACACAGCTCGAGCCATAAATTGATTTATTAAAGGAAAGGTTCGGTAACCGCCTAGTGTCCCGTTTTGGACCGTGAATTGGCCTCCAAGATCGTGCGATTTAACACTGCTAGACTATTTTGT